CAGTTCCTAAAATTTATCCCCCAAATACTATTCTTACAATTGAGTCTACAGAATATGAAGGCAAGAAGGCTGTTTGATAGGTTGCTAATGTGACTCTCTGCCATTTTCTACACAATTCTTCACATGGTTTTGATTTATCACAAGATGCCAGTCTAGCCTTCCCAGATGAAGTATAGAATAATTTATTTAATACTTCATCCACATATTTTATGGTTTTAAAAATTAAATAAGAAATATTACTTGTAGGTATCTTTAACAAATGTGGAAAATGAAATTCTGACTTTATAGTTTAACTATGGGTAGAATTTTTTTCTTGGAAAATCAATAAATGTATTCTCAGAATTAAAATATATTTTAATACTATCTTCTAAATGTTATTTGTCCCATGTACACATAAAAGATGCCATGTTCTGACTGGTGTGGCTCAGTAGGTTGGACATCATCCCACAACCAAAAGCTGGCTGATTTGATTAGTGGTCAGGGGAACAGGCCTGGGTTGTAGGTCAGGTCCCCGGTTGCAGGTGTACAAAAGTCAACTGATTGATGTTTCTCTTACACAACAGTGTTTCCTTCCCTCACTTTCTCCCTCTTTTCCCCTCTCTCTAAAAATAAGTAAATAAATAAATTTAAAAGTATACTATGCACTATAAATGTTAGATATAATAGAAGGTTGGTGAAGGTATGTGTAGACCCACACACATTAGGGATAACTTTATTTCAGGTTAATGCCCTGAATATAATAAGCATCAGAAGTCAAAAGAAATGAAACTTTATTCATGTCACAATTATTTACTTAATGCTTGCAATATACTAGCAACTATATACTGCTTCTGCCTGTTGGAAGTTTACTAACACACAAGAGACACGGACTCATGAGCTGATAGTTAAACAGAATATGTTAAATGCTTTACTAGGGTTATACCCAGGCAGCTACTGGAATATATCACAAAACCCTATCATTTCAAATTAAAAACTTACTTTATTCCAACATAAACAAAGTTAGCTTTATTGTAATGGTAATAAAACTTAAAATTGTTAAGAGCTTATGTTAAGTGTTAAGGATAGTTATAGTCATGACTTATCAAATTTGTAACAGTAAAGTGTCATCTTTTAGAATGTGTGGCAGGAAATTTCAGCCCCTTAAATGAGATAAATCTTGTTACAATTACAATTTAAAACCTGAGAAACTATCTTTTCTATTTTTAAGCCTCTTAATGACATCATTTATTGTCTACTGGAAATCAATTTAGGAAATCGTGTTAGTCCACTAAGCACTTCAGATAAGGTGATTTCATGAAACATTCCAAGATTATCACAGGGAATTGCCTTTGAATGCCATAAAAGAAGAAAGAAGCAGAATATGGCCTGCTGAAGGAGTTTACAATTTTACAGCTCCTCCCACTGCAGCACAAAAGTCACTTAGTGACAGTTAACTTTGGGTTATCATTCATGGATTGAAAGCCTAGGAGCCCTCACACACTCTAGGCTTGTGTGACATTGTATGTGTTTTTCTAAATCAATGATGAGGGTATCGGAACCGATACTGGACATGGATATGGCAAATTACAGTGAAGTTTTGGACCCAACATATACAACCTTGGAATTTGAAACCATGCAGATTCTGTATAATTCAAATGGTGAGTTCTCATCTGCTTGTAAATATTTTTTAAAATGTAAGTATAGTAGAAGTAAAACTGATCTTCCCAGGTTGTTGCTGCAGGTTTTATTGCTGGAGAATTCAGGGCTTGATTTCTAAAGCCGCAAATCTGAGCTTTTTTTGCACATCATCACAAACTTTAAATTAATAATATGTTTGAGATAGAAAAAAACCTACTTGTATGTAATAAAATAACCTCAGAATTCTGTCATAAGCCAGTTAAATGAAGAGAGCTATTCTATTTGCTATAAATCACAGTAATAAATAACATTGGCAGATTGGCTGTAAAATATATTTTCTATGCAATATTTACAATGACATATGGGACAGAGTTTCCATATAGCACTGCAAAGTTTTCCTGGTTGCCCCTCCTTCATTATTCCATCTCTCAATTGCTGTGAATCCAAAACTGCATTGAAAATTACCATCAAGTTTTTGCAACAAACACAAATATTGAAGGAAATAAAGGCTTATATTATAATCCCAATTGACAAGCTAATGGTTAGCCTCAAAAGTTCTTGGTATTTATCTACTGTAACATTTTAACTTTAAATAAGACGTGAGTAGTTTAGAGCTCAAGTCTTTTTATAATACAGTTTACTATTGATTTTAAATTTATTTTTTAAGTAAAAATATTTTTCAAGATCAGTTATAATCAATAGAACTCCTAAAGTCTAGTAATTATTTATAGTTTGAAAACTGTGTGTTTATGTGTTTAGTTCAGGATTGAGAATGTATCTTATACTCAGGATATGTGATTGTTCTACTATGTTGTTTTATTTGTAGAAAATTTTTTAAGGATTGGCAGGGGATGAATTCTGAAATTTTAGCACAAAGAGAATTAAAATCAACCTAGAGTGCAAATCTTAGGAAGTCATTATTTTGATTCTTTATGTGTAGATTTGATTAGAGGTATTTAATAAACTATCTCAGTGGGATCATGATTTTTTAAGACTATAGAAAGGACAGGCATACTACAAATATTTACCAAAACAACTGACTTTCCAAAGTGTTGTCAAACCTGTTTTCTTGTAATGATGTTCTTAATAATATTAAGTATGACAATAAACTTCAAGCAAAAGTTGACTTTTTTGTATTTTCATATAATCTCCCAGAATGCAGTCAATTCTAAATACTTCTAGCTACCTTATTTCTTTTTTTTAATTTATTTATTTTAATTGTTGTTTAAGTACAGTTTTCTGTCTTATAATCCCATCTCAGCCCACCCCCACAGTGCTCCCCACCTACCTCCCATTTCCACCCCCCTTAGTGTTTGTCCATGTGTCCTTTACACTTGTTCCTGTAAACCCTTCTTCCTCTTTTCCCCTGGAATTCCCTCCCCTCTCCCCTCTGGTCACTGTCAGCCTGTTCTCTATTTCAGTGTCTTTGGTTATATTTTGCTTGTTTATTTGTTTTGTTGTTTAGGTTCCTGTTAAAGGTCAGATCATATGGCATTTGTCTTTCACCTCCTTAGTTGCATTAGTTCTAATAATCTATTTCGTTTATGTTACCAAATGAAAATGTTCTAGTTTAAATTTTATGTCACGTGGTTAACCTTAAGAACATTCTTATTGTGTTTTTAACTTATGAAGTTATATTGATAATATCTATCTACTCAGAATTATTAGTAGGTAGGATATATGTGCTGTTACATACTGTATTTGGGACATGACATTAATTTTATCTTCTGTTCTATTAAAGATATAGTAATTGTTATTAGGCTTATATAATTTTATAAATTAAAATGTTAAAATATTACCTAATACTTTCAATATCTTTTGGAGACATACAGATTTTTAAGCTGTAGTCAGCAACATTAACAAATTTAAAAATAGGTAAAAATATCTAGATTTTAAGCCTTTTTCTTCAAAACTATATTTTGGATGCTCACTTTATGTCAGGTGCTGGAAGACACAGGGGAATGGGTGAGGCAGATAAATTCTCTGACATCATGAAGTTTGTTTGCTACAGCAAGAGATGAATTATAAGTGGGCGGACCAGTACAGAATATAATTTTAAACAGTGAAGCACTTATTCTTTAAAAAATAAGCAGAGTTTTATGTTCTACTTGAAAGGCAGGTGAGAAGTGACTCTTAGGGAACTATGTTCAGAGAATGTTTTATAGAAAATGAGGAACTGGATAGCCAGCAGGAAGAAACTTTTGATGAAACTTTCCTTCCAGGCAGGAGTAGCAAACGTGAAGGCTCTGAGACAGAAACAGCCTTCAAGTGGGAAAAAAGGCCACATTGCTGGAGGACAGTGAACGGGATGAAAACTAGTATTAGATAATGGGATCAGAGAGGTGGGAGGTGGGTGCTGTCCACAGAGCTTTACAGGCCACCGTAAGTGTATCTGTCTATAAGTGTTGGATGCAGAAGACTGATAAGATGTGACTTTCTTATACCAGGAAAACTGTGGGGGCTTTGGAGAAATAAACAGTAAGAAAAAGTAAGAGGAGAGAAATTAGATAGAAGACTATTGCAATGTTTGAGGTGGAAAATTATGGTCAATTGATGAATCGCCATAGTTAAAGGCTGAAAAGTTACAGATTCTTTATGTATTTTAAATATGGACTTTCCTACTGTATTGGATATAAGTGATAAAGGAGAGAATCCAGTGAAGACTCACAGGGTACTGTGAGTACTGGGTACTAAATGGTACTATCCATTGCCATGGAAAACTGAAGGAACATGTTCTGGGGATAAATCAGTTTTGTTTTTATACATTAATTTGAAATTTTTCTTAAACTTCAAAATGAAGTTGTTAAATAGGTATTTGAGGATTTCAGACTAGTGCTCATGGGAGACATCAGGGCCAGAGATAAAACTTGGGGATTTTAATAACACAGATAATATTTAATGTCATGAGACTTGATGAACTTCCCTTGAGAAAGAGTGTAGTTGGAGGACTGAGCCCTATAGTGTTCTAAAGTTTAATCATCAGAAATATGAGAGGGGACCCTGGCTGGTGTGGTTCAATGGGTTCAGTACTAGTCCATGAACCAAAGGGTCACCACTTCGATTCCCAGGCAGGGCATATGCCTGGGTTGCAGGTCAGGTCCCTGGTTGTGGGTGTACAAGAGGCAACCACACATTGATGTTTCTCTCCCTCTCTTTCTCCCTCCTTTCCCCTTTATGTTAAAATAAAATAAATGAAATCTTAAAAAAAAGAAATATGGGAGGGGAGACTGGAATGGTGACTGGCAGAAGTAGCCACTGGTTAAGAGGATACAGTGTAGTGTGTTGGGACTCTAAGAAATAAATGAATGGACTGTTTTGAGCTTATGAATATTTAGTAACTCAAACTCTCCTCTCCCTGCAACCTGCTTTTTTTTTTAAAACAGATAGTTCTGCCCCAGAGACAACAAGTATGAGTACCACAGACAATGGTGTCAACTGTCTATGTGCTATATGTGGGGACAGAGCAACAGGAAAACACTATGGAGCATCCAGCTGTGATGGGTGCAAGGGCTTCTTCAGGCGCAGCATTCGCAAGAGTCACGTGTATTCCTGCAGGTACTTGAAATGCTCCTTTCAGGAAAGTCATTTTTAGAGGCATTGCAAAATGGCATGCAGACAGGAATACAATTTAGAGCTTCTCTATTTCTGTAAACCTGAGAACAAAATCTGTAAACTACATTAAGAATGAGAATGTGTGGGTGTATTTGCAGGATGCATTCACAGAGGTGGTTCTCTTTTATGAAACATTCAGACTTATAAAACAAATATAAAAATCCACACACTTATTCATTTTATACATTGGCATAGTTGGAGCTCAGTGAATACCTCCTTTATCATTTTCTCTTTCTATCCCCTTTCCCAGAGGTGATTACTGTCTGAAATTTGTGTTTCTTTACTGTTTTAGCACATGTTCATATACCAATAGACATACTTAAATCTGTATTCAGATAGTTTCACAATGTGTGGACTTTTCTGTCTATTGATTTTCTTTTTAGCATCATTATATTCTGAGTCTTTTAAAACAAAATGATAAAAGTGCAGATGACTTTGGTAGCTTTTTGATATTAATGAAAGATAAAAATTTTTAGTCCTAAATTTTTAATGCATTTCTTGTGTTATAGTTTTGCCATTGAATGTAATGTTTTATCTAAAATGTATTTAACTATATTGTATGCATCCTACATTTCCAGTAGGCTTTTAAAAAAACTATCTAGTCAGCATCATAGCACAATTCAGGGTTAAATATCCCATGCTGAGTGTTCAGAATGACTGTTCTTGAATGCAGATTATATCTGGAAAGAACTTAATTCTTTCTTGATATGATGCCATTTGATTTCTAGGAATCTGGAAAAGTTAATATGTAACTACTCAAATATCTAACTAGCATTTTCTATTAATTTTTCAAGGAGAGCTTAGTAAGTCAAAAATGTAAATCATTCACTTTACGACCTTTTTGGAAAACAAAAATATATATATATTTAGATAGGTCTTGCTTTTCTATACATCAAAACTCCAAAGGTAAAAAGTAGATTTCCAAAGATATCAACAAAAATAAATACAAAATAAAATGTAAATAATACTTTTTTGAGTAGTGTGTTCTGTTAAAAGTGGAATACATAGATATGAAAAATAACAATCTAAACAACTAAATCCATCAAAAACTTTTAGGAATCAGAGACTATCAGCACAAAGGTCTTTCAGGGTTTCAGGCTTCCTACCTGGAAAAAGTGGGAAAGGAGCATTCCCATAGCAATTTTTTGAACTTTAAAAAAGATTCCACCAACATGTACAGTTGATTCACACTTCCCATCATGCGTATTGCTACTTCCTTAGCCTTCTTTACATATTGTGCTCTAAAGAAAATGCTATGACTTTTCATTTGGAAAATAGTTATTATATTGATGGAAGTTTAGGATTATAAATGTCTATTTAAGCTCACATTTTGCTGTCCCAATTTTTTTTATTTTCTTATATTTGCTAAACATTTCCACTCTAACTCTTTCATCACGATGGAGTTGGACTTTCCCCTTTCAATGCACGTTAAATTACTGTCTCTGTACTTCTTACATTATGTTATTTATTATGGTTATTTGTAACTTGTATGTGTACCTTATTAGGTTATTGTTTCCTTGAATGGAGAAGATAGATAATAGTCCTCTGTTTAATCCCTATGCCAAGATTACATACATAAAACATGCTTAATAAATGTTTATTCCATTTTTGCATTAATTTAATGTTAATTGAATGTGTTCTCCTGTTTTATCTATCAGTAATCTGGTCCTCTCCTGAGTCTCCCAAACCATCTATTCTCAAATAAACAATGCTCTTTCCTCACCCAGAAAGTTTGTCTGTCTTCCAGTTCAATTCATCTATAGTAGGCTTTATATTCATTCAGTTTTGAGTGGCCATTTTTATTTTTAGAAAAAATATTTTTATATAGATCACAAAAAATATTATTTTATTCTAATCATTAATAATCAACCACAAATAATCAGAGATATACATATGGGTAATTTGGGGCCAGAATTTTGAACAAATGCTATTGCTTCCTATGTGATTAATATTTGCCGCAAAGTCTTTGAAGTTCATTTACATAACAACATTACAATTTTAAATTAACTGGGCAGGGCTATTTAATAACATTGTCAGTCCTAACAAAAGAGAATGGTGGACCTAGGAATCAAGCTTAGGTCTAATTCCAGAGACAGTACTCTTTTTTTATGTGTGCAAATTCAGTTTTTTAGTATATCTACAGAGTTGCAACCATCACTACAATCAATTTAGAACATTTCCACCCCCCTCCATTATAAAGAAATCTCATTCCCTTTCATAGTCACTGTCCTTTGCCACCTACTTCCTCTCCACCAGTGTTAGGCAACCACTTGTCTCTTCCCATGTCTATAGATTTGATGTAAGTGAAATCACACAGTATGTGGCATTTTATGTCTGCCTTCTTCAAGGTTCTTCTGATTTGTATCATGCATCAGACTCCATTCCTGTTCATTGTTACTTATAATATGTGTTGTGCGGGGGAACCATATTTTTGTACCCATCAACGGATGGGCATTTGGTTTGTCCCCACCTTTTGGCTATTACAAATAATGCTGCTGTGGACACATGTTTGTGTGAAAATATGACTTTGTTTTTCTTTGGTAGGTACCTAGGAGTGGTATTGCTAGATCATATGGTAACTCTATGTTTAACTTTTTAAAAAACTGCCACACTTCCTAAGCAGCTACAGCATTCTATGTTATGACGAACAATGTGTGGGGGTTCTCAATTTCCACATCTTCTTCAACACTTGTATTTTCTGTTTTTTTCCTGATTAGAGCCATTTTAGTGGATGTGAGATGACACCTAATTTCTCAGTTTGCAGCCAAAGCTGCCCTAATTTGCCTCTTCACATGAAATTTGGCATTTAGAGTAAACTTTAGTTGGGCCACATTTAAAATTAATCAAATAATGTTTACAATGAAAAAAATATGAAAATGAAGAGGATGAAATTCTGATATCTTTTCCATCACGCCAAAATCATTTAGCAACAAACAATTAAAATTTATATGCCAAATATTTTATAGCTAGGTTTGGCTTTCATGAATCAGACAGAAATGACCATGCACACTGGCCAAAAGTGAGATATTTTTCAGTTTTATTTTATTATAAAGACTGCATGAGAATTGAGGATTGTATTTCCATGTATGTTTCTTTTTTTAATTTTGAAAAGTGTTTTTCATAAGATTTTTTAAAAGATTGTATTTACTCATTTTTAGAGAGAAGGGAAGAGAAGGACAGAAATATCAATGTGTGTTTGCCTCTTCTGTGCCCAGTATTGGGGACCTGGCCCACAACCCAGGCATGTGCCCTGACTGGGAATTAAACAGCAGCCCTTTGGTTTGCAGGCCTGTGCTCAACCCACTGAACTACACCAGCCAGGGCTCCATGTATGTTCTGATCATGGTTGTATGTTTAATACCATAGCAGTAGGAAGGTTACAAATGTTCATAACGTCTGGAAAAGTCAATTAATTGTTCTTATTCATTCTTTCTATTGGGCCAAATTTGACCATACCTAGAGTCTATTTGTCTTTTTATTAGCTTTTTTCATAAATAATTTTCTGCAAAACTAATATACCCTTTTTTATATTATAGGTTCAGTCGGCAATGTGTTGTTGACAAGGACAAAAGGAATCAATGTAGATATTGTCGATTAAGAAAGTGTTTTAGAGCAGGAATGAAAAAAGAAGGTAATAATATATAACATAATAGTGATATTTAACATTATTGATGAAAAGTGTTATACACACATTCTCATTTAATCTTAATAATTTTCACATAAATTCTGATTTTCCTTCATGAAGAATCTATGTTTTCTTGAGTTTAAGAATTTACCCTAGGAACCTGGCCCCCAGCTAGTAAGCAGTATAATCAGTCTTTATATGATGGCTGTCTGATTTCTGACACCATGCTCTTTACTACTGTGTTATACCTGGCAGCAACAAAATTGTAGTCTTAGATATCATTTCAGTATTCTGTTTGAAAGATATGCCTATATCTTTCAAAGATAATAAGTGGTAAAACCTATAATATAGGTTGCAAAACCTATAATAAGCTGAAATTATAACTATATTTTAAACTCATTTTTATCATCATTAAGATTGAACACCTTTATTTCATAAGCATTAACTAAACATTAACTTATGCATGCATCCATTAATTTATTCAACAAATATTTATTGAGCACTGCTACTTTCAAAGTAGTGCTCTGAGCACTGAGGTTTCAGTAGTTAACATAATAGAAAATTTCTCCCCCTCAGGGAGCTTATATTCTATTGAGGGATAGAGACATAGACTCAGTACTCTGTTTTATTGTGAACTAATTTCATTGTGAAAATATTAAATAGTCTGACTCTATTATCCTACATTCTAAATATGGTTCATTTAGAAAGGTGTTGAACACATTTAAATATTTGGCAGGGAATACTCACTGCAAGATTTTAGGCTTATCAGATTTTGCACCTTCTTGTGGCTGTCATATAAAAAGAGATATTTTTTAAATTTTATCTATTTTTAGTTATTGTTGTTTGGTTACAGTTGTCCCACCTTTTTCCCCATTGCTCACCACTACCCCATCCCTCCCCACTCCCACACTCAATCCGCCCCATTGATCCATGCCCATGAGTCCTCTATTCATGTTCCTTTGCTTGTCCCTTCTCCTACCCCCTCCCCTCTGGTCACTGTTAGTTTGTTCTTAATTTCCAAGTCTCTGGTTCTATTTTGCTCATTTGTTAGTTTTATTGCTTGGGTTCCAGTTATAGGTGAGATCATGGCATTTGTCTTTCACTGCCTGGCTTATTTCACTTAGACTAATGCTCTCCAGTTCCATCTATGCTGTCATGAAGGGTAGAAGTTCTTTCTTTCTACAATGGTGGGATACAAAGTCAATATTCAGAAATCGAAAGCATTTTTGTATACCAACAATGAAATATCAGAAATAGAAATTAGGAAAAGCATCCCATTTAACTATTCTTAGGAATAAACTAACCAAGGAGGTAAAAAACCAGTACCCACAAAACTATACAACACTGAAAAAAAATTAAGAAAGACACAAATAAATGGAAGCATATATGGTGTTCATGGGTTGGAAGAATTGGCATCAATAAAATATCCATACTACACAAAACAATCTACAGATTGAATGTAACCCCTATCAAAATAGTAATGACATACTCCACAGATATAGAACAAATACATAAAAATTTTACATGGAACAAAGATATATTTTTCAATACTATTTCATAAACTATAAAAAATAATTAAGTCAAATCATTATTCTTCAGAAATGTAAGATATATCAAACCTATGTTGAACACAGTTAGTTTCTTTTCCTTGTCATTCAATATTTTAAAGAAGCAGACATTCCATTTGTTTTATTCAGGTTGTTAGTCTCAAAAAATAAGGCAACTGAAAGTTCACAAAGTTAAAGGAGAGACACCTATCTATTTTAAAATGGCATGTCTAATGGCATATTTGGTAGTTTATGGGGTTAATTGTATGCTTCACCAATCATTTTCATCCATTTAAACTTTGACACCTGACTTGTATTACTCTTCATGTGGCAAATACACAGGTTAATCCCCCTTAGTTTTCCTTATATTTACAGTTTAGTTTTCAATAGGTACTTGGGGATACGCATTATTCTTTCTGCCCTTCCTGAAACAAGTTGATCCAGTTTTCTCTTTAAGCTTTTTATATATGGGAGATTTCTCTACCTTTCCTAAATGCTGAGTTTCCAACCTCACTCTTCTCAGGAGAAACTCCCTACTTATTACACCCTTTGCCTGATTAATGTGTGTAAAGTTTCCTGAGAACATTGTTTCATTATGAACATAAGAATGCAATTTTAAAATCTCCATAACTAAAATAAACGTACTTTCCATTTTTGCTCGTGGTTTAGAAGAATGAGAAAATGGAAGTTTCAAACTCTGTGACTCACATTTTCTGACAGTGAATGCACTCTTATCTTTGACCTGGTTAATCTCACAGGCAATACTCTCCTTCTACTTATCTCATGGTTTTAATAACTTTGAGGGAATGGAAAACCATCTTATTGAAATATAGTGTGGCTGAACTGGTTGACCCAACACTTTCTAATGTGCATGCCATCGTGGAATCCCCAAAAAGACAATATTAAGAGTTCAAATGACAAGCCTGGCTCTTTCTACTCTTAAAAGTGATACAAAATGAGGTAACTGGGTAGAGGGGGATAAAGGGAAGAAGAAAATGGGACAACTGTAATAGCATAATTAATAAAATGTACTTAAAAATAAAGGTGATACAAAATGAAAAGTATCTTCGGTCATATTGCTCCCCAATCCAGGTCTTTTAGAAACATCCCTTTTCTTTGTTTCTGATTTCTTTTGTGACATATGTTGAAGAGAACCTGCCAGCAAACACTGTGTTTTTTCTTCCCCAGCTGTGCAAAATGAACGTGACAGAATCAGCACCAGAAGAAGCACTTTTGATGGCAGCAACATCCCCTCCATTAACACATTGGCGCAGGCTGAGCTCCGGTCTCGCCAGGTACCCATTGCACACCAGCAGTCCACTCTGCTTCATAGAATCAAATGGTTATTTAGGTGTAATGCTAAAATAATCTAAGTTCTTTCCAATGTGCTCATTACTAAAATAAATCACATTTATGCAAATTTGAGAGTTTTACTTTGAAATTATTACTTAGACTATTGATTTCACTTTGACTTTTCCTGGACAAGTTTCTGTTTATGAATGGGATGATGAAATGTATTTCAGTAGAAGATTGTAAAAAACTTGTTTACAGGGTTCATTTAAAATATGTAATGCACAGCACAGTGCTCTGGGGCAGTACTTGGTTTTATTGAGTGAATGTGAAAAATCAGTTATCATTTTGGGAGAGTTTGGTTGAGACATATCATCAGAGCTTCCTTCCTCACAAATGACTTCTGGAGCCATGAGCTCACTTTGGCATCTTCTTTGGAAACAAGTATTTAAGGGAAGAGCCAGAATTTTAAAAAAAAAACACAAGAGGAAGTTTAAGTTTCAAGAATGAGAATATCAGTTCTAAAGTTTAAAAATATAGGTACATGCATAAATATAAATGACTAAGGATCAGCTAAAGAAACTCTTTGAATACAGTTTATCTTAGTATTGCTCCTATTAGAAATGTTAGTGATATTTTCTATTATGAAGCAAATTGTGAAATAGTTAACTATTAAACTAGTGCCATAATGAGTCAGTACAACTACTTTCGTTTGTGATAACACGAGGGCAATATGATGAGGTTAACCTCACCACTATCATCATTCATCAGATTACTTGATGGTCCTATAAAGTATTTAGGGAATGGTTTAAAGGGGAGGTGTGAGGAATTGCACATACACTACAGAAAGACATGCACACACACCTTTAAAATTTTCAAGAAAAGTTTTTAAGAACTTTTAGAAAGTGATTTATTCAGAAGAGGGGCGTTTTAACACCACTTATAATTTTATTTAGCTCACAATTATATATAGTTTTAAAAAATTATTATTATAGGTTAAGCTTTTCAGTGTTGCTAAGTCAAAGATTGGTTTCTTAATTGTATTTTGATGGTTTTCATTCAGAATAGAACATAAATCATTCTGGCTTCTCATCTAAATCTCTTTTCCCCTGTTTTGTAAGTTTTATCTGATGGAAACTTTTTCAACAAATTAAAGATGGACTTTTTAATTGAAATGTCACTTTTCAATTAAAAAATCACAGAGCATATGTCATGTAAATACTGTTACTTCTTTATATTGTCATTTTTGAATTATGAAACTCTCCAATAGTCGGGTAACGTATTCTACAGATGTGGCCAGTAAAATAAGATAGTGCTCTCCCACAGCATGTGCTGTGAAGGGAATGTTTTTTTTATTTTACTTGTACTGTAAGGTATTTTACTTCTCAATTTTAAAATATTTAGTATATTTCAAGATACTTGATCACAGTGCCACTTCAGTGGTGTTTACTTATTGTAGTCATCTAAAAAAAGAAGTATTGGTAATTTATTATCTTAAATGACATATTCATATAATGTTCTTATTCATATTAGATTTCAGCCTCAAGCCCTGGTGCAAGCACAGACATAAATGTTAAGAAAATTGCAAACATTGGTGATGTCTGCGAATCTATGAAACAGCAACTCTTGGTCTTGGTGGAATGGGCAAAATATATTCCTGCCTTCTGTGAATTACCCCTGGATGATCAGGTAGAAGTTAAAGAAATTTTGAATGCTTAAAAAATGTTTTTTGAACTTTGCCTAGTTTTCTGTATTCTTTTCATTATATTCATATAATAGACTTACCATATTTGACAAGGTGAACTTATCTATTAGAGAAAAAAGCTTGGCTTTCTTATCCATTCACCTCTTTGTTCTGTCAAGAGGTACCACTGTTTGACTTCTGGTGTAGGACATGCTATTTATTGATTGAAGTTGAGCATGACATGGTTCTTCCCCCTCATATGTTAAAAAGCTTAAGCCAGGGAGAAAGACAGATCACAAGCACCTGCCATTGTGATACAAAGGACTGGCAGAGCAAGTGTCTGGGAGGCAAATGGACATTATTTTGTCCGGGTGTTTACTGAAGGTGCCTGTGTAATTGCTTAGGAATGCTAGGCCACTCCTAGATGGAAACCCATGCAGGTTGTGTTGGTGTTTTACGGGCACTTTGTGCAGTTAACATATAAAATTTTATCTTGCATATTGTCAATTTTATTCTAGTATTACTGTATAAAAATTATAGGTCTGGTAAAAAAATGCTTATAGAATTGTGCTCTAAAACCTACAGAGAAATAGAGAAAATCCAGATATAATGATCTTTTCTCAATACTTTAATTTTTTAATTAGCCAATGAAGATTAGATGTTTAGTTTCAGATTCATTTTAAAGTCTTCCATGTAAGTAGTATATAATATTCTGAAGATGCAAATAATTTGAAAATTTTGAATTCTTATACATTGAATAAACTCTGATATGTATTATACCTGTGTATATCTTTACATCCTCTGACCAATGTTCTTTATTATGGGCACACAAAAAGAAAACAAAAATAATAAAAGGAAAAAGTTCAATTGTTTTAAAATAAAAATTGACAAAAATTCATACAATCAGAAAAAAAAGGAATCATAGGAAGTCCAGCTATGCTTCTAGGAGAGCATTTCACTTAGTGACCAAACAAAAAAAATCCTGTGAAATCTGAAATCACTCTCAAAATGTTCTTAACTGCCTTCCTGTTATGAGTCATGCCTATTGACATATCATAAAGATAGCTTGGCTCAGAAGGTTATTTCAGAGTGAATAATGCTAAATTGCTAAAACCTACTTGTCTCACCCCAAGCCATATAAGTAGGGTTATGTTATTTATCAGTTTTATATTTTTACTATCACTCCTCTTTAAAAGTTGCTGACTTAAATATGAAGATAGTAATTATAACACTGGGAAATTGAATTCCGGGAACCTGTCAAAAGCAGTTTTTATTTACCAACTCAGTCTTTAATATTAACAATGCAGCATTAATAGCCATGGCTGCTGAAATGTCTATTATGGATAAGGCACTAGGAAATTAGCTTTCAGTTGCATTATGCATTAGATTATTTTAGTTAATGTTCTCAAAATTTCTATGTTCAAAGTTCTATAATCTCTACTTTACCATTTTTAAAAGTGTACTCTAAATCATTAAATTCACTCAGTAAGTTTATCTAACAAATATTTCTTGGGATTACTGTTCAGTTTTAGGAACTGTGACAGTATTTGGCAGTAACAATTCAGACTGAGTCACTATTCCCATAAAGTTTACATGCCATTTGGGATAGACAGATAGACAATAAAAAATATACAGATTATGAGTATGTTGACTGTAGGTGGGCATAAGTTCTATAAAATGAAATGGGTTGCCTTGTTGGACAATAACAGGGTGTGAAGTGGTAACAGATACTTTAAATTGGGAACCAGAAAAGATTTTTCCTGAGAACTGAATGACAAAAAGCTAATCATATCAAGATCAAGGCAAAAGCATTCTGAGTACAGAAACAACATGTTCAAAGACCCTGAGGCAAGCAAGAGTAAATGGGTCTGGAGAAAACTGTCTGCAAGGGATGTTGCCAGGTGAAACCAGAGATGTGAGTGTGACACAACTCATTGAGCCATTACCTATGAGGCCTTCATGAAGCAGTTCGGATGTTATCTGAGGACAATAAGAAACCAGTACAGAATTTTCATCAGAAGAATGATATTAAGTGATTACTATTTTATAAATAGTGTCTTGGAAGCTCTGTCAGGAAGGATTTAGGACTGAGGAACCAGGAAGGAAGCCGGAATACTTGTTAGGTCCTTGGAGTACATTGTGGAGGCCAGGAGAGGAATGGCGAGGGCTCGGGCTACAGTGACATGGGGTTTTCTGGGCAATTAGAGAAGAATCAAACTGGAGTCTTGTTTTTGTCATGAACAAGTATGTTGGACCATGATGGAGATGTTGGAGAAGAATGACTTTGAAATGTTAAGTTTGAGATGCTTCCTATTATCTCTAGTGGTGATTTTCAGCAGGCAATTAAGTATATGCTTAAAGCTCAGTTGAGAACTTAGAACAAAGAATTATGGGTTCAGTCTTGAGTGCATTAGAATCCCAATTCCCCATTCTCATTGTAATATGTCACAGGTCCCCACTTTGCTCTTGTTTATTCAGTTTATTATGTGTAAGAGGTTGTGTTGACACATATTTTCTCATTCAGACCTCACATCTACAGTTTGAAATTTTAATCATTGTCTCCACTTGGTAGATGAAAACAAATGAGTCCCAAACATAAATAGTTGGGTTTACTCAAGGTAAAACGAGTAGTAAGTGGCCAAGCTAGAATTTGAACTTTGCTTTGTTTGATTTTCTCTCATTCCAAAATATTTAATATTTCTGTTGGACATTTTTGTTTGTTTGCTGACACTGTATTGACTTGTTAGTTTCAGAAATTTTGAAAAGTAAATCTCTATGACATTCTAAAATAGGAAAATTAGAAGGCTTAATGATGGCAACTATCGGTGAATATTATAGTCTGTTAAAACAACAAAAAAAGTGACTCAGACTTAAAGTTAATCAGACTCATATGATACCATCTCTTAATCATCATATTTTATAATTAATTGTTCAACTTGGAATTTTTCATTCAGGTGGCCCTGCTGAGAGCTCATGCAGGGGAACATTTACTGCTTGGAGCTACAAAAAGATCCATGGTGTATAAAGATATTTTGCTTTTGGGTAAGTTTTTTTTAATTTAAAAGGAAATTATGTATGCTTCATTCTTACACAGAATCTATTCCTTATGTGCCGAGCATTCACAGACACTGACAAATGGTGGTCTCACTGCACAGATTGAGTTTAATTGATCATATCCTAACTTGGGCCCCCTTTTTCCTTGCTTTGATTACAGGGAAGTTCAGAGTGCATTGAGATGTTCAGAATGTACTGAGATTTAAAAATAAAAGATGTTGCTCAATGAACAGAATCTTGAGGTATATTTAAAACATCAGAATAAAAAATTAGTCATTTGCATGACTATCTTAAGGAGTCTCAGTGTTGTTTCACACCTCTCTGTGTCTACTTAACAATTGTAATATATGCTATTTGATACGTTTTTAATGAGCATGTATATCTCCTGTGATGTCATTGCCATGGTATGCTAAAATCACAAGTTAAAAAATTTTGATGACAATGTCTGAAAAATTCTGATAGTTTAATAACAACGTCAGAAGAGGCAGAAGTAGAGAGTAGAATGAAAGAGGGGTGGTGAGGAAAAAGGAAAATCTTTTATCTTCATTAAGTGCCCAATCTCTCTCCTCTACTGAACTTATTAAATTAGGTTTCCTATTTAAAGAGTTAAGACCCCTTTATTGTTTGTTAGCTCCACTTCTCCCTGGCTTGTGTGAGATAGGGTGACTTGTTTATTCTATTTATGTGATACATATATTGTCCCAAAATATGAATAAATCAAACACGATGTAATAATAACAAATATTTATCGCGCATTTACCATGTAATATGCATTGCTTTCAGTGTTTTTTTTACACGTGTATCAACACTATTTCATTTCATCCTTACAATAACCCTAAGGGATAGGTACTATTATTTGCAGCCCAGTTTTGGGGTAAAGAATTGGAGGCACAGAAAGTTTACCTGAGATCACAAGGTTAGTGAGGGATAGAGCCAAGATTCTAAACCACATAATGTGACTATAGATACCAAGCTCTCAAATTCTAATATTCTGCTGCATTTACAGTACACTATAATACCATTCTCATTGTAGATTTGGATACAATATACTTACTTAGGTTTCGTAAAATGTATCTCGATTGAATTACACCTAATTCAATATATCTACACTATTAAAGGAGTGGTGCTTTTAATCCACTGTAAACATTCGTTAGATTTTGTATTATGTTCATTAATGAATAAGACACTAGTGGATAACTGACATAGCGGAAAGCTAATCATTGTACTTCATTTCTCCCTTGTCAAATATTAGCTTGTTTATTAGCCTGTACTTTACTGTTATCACCAGTGACTGAGGCTGTTAAAATGCATGTGATCATATTATCAATGTTATTGATCCTTTAAGCATTCTAAAGTTTTTCCAACAACATTACTGAGAGAAGAAGTACTATTTTTTTTTCTGCAAGGGAAAGCCATTTAAAAGGTTAGTTTGTAAAAATTTAAAGAATATCTGATAATTTGAGGGGCAGGATGATGGTTATATTTTTTTCCCCAGGAAACAACTACATTATTCAGCGCAACAGCTGTGAAGTCGAGATCAGCCGTGTGGCCAACCGAGTTCTAGATGAGCTGGTCCGACCATTTCAGGAAATCCAGATTGATGACAATGAATACGCTTGTTTGAAGGCAATTGTTTTTTTTGATCCAGGTTTGTTTCCAAAGACCCATTCAAATAATTACAATGAAAATAAAACTACTTTTTAATTTTGGGATATTTACTGTCACACACTGTTAAGATCCAATCTTTCCATCGGTCTGTTTATTTGTTTTCTAGATGCGAAAGGACTGAGCGATCCAGTGAAGATTAAGAACATGCGGTTCCAGGTGCAGCTGAGCCTGGAGGACTACATCAACGACCGGCAGTACGACTCGCGCGGCCGGTTCGGGGAGCTGCTGTTGCTGCTGCCCACGCTGCAGAGCATCACCTGGCAGATGATTGAGCAGATTCAGTTTGTCAAACTGTTTGGGATGGTTAAAATTGACAACCTGCTGCAGGAAATGCTACTGGGTGGTGAGTGCCTTTGAGAATCTTTTATCTGTTAGCACCCCACTGTGTACTTTAGAGTCAGTTTGACACTTTTATTTTCTGCCAGTGACATAATGAACTCAATTTTTTACATTTAGAAAGTCTACAATACCCATTGGAGGGGGACAAATACTTGAACATATTCAAATCCTCATGTTTAGTAGCCTCCATCATTTAGCTCCACAAAGTGTCTCTAACCTCAATTTTTACTTCCTTCAGCTATAGTAAATAGAAATATATTTGCTACTTTGAATACTCCTTGAAGTATATTATATTTTTCTATGCCTTTACACTTCTTAAAAGCTCAAGAATATCAGAATTGCAAATAATCTAAAAACACAAAGAGTAAATATCTTAAAAACACTTTGTTCCTGAAATAATTAATTGACACAACACAATGAGAAGGAAAAAATGAGATTTCCTTACTGCAGTAAATGTCAGGAATAAGTTAAGAAAGCATTCATTTTGTGTTCTGATCTAGATTAAATTTCTTTATAAAATCACTTTATTTTAGTTTTAGTTTTCTGGTCCTTAATGTGTTCCTAATGATACCTTCCTGAAATAAAAGTTGTTTATGCTATTAGGGTGATCCTAAATACTATAAACTTGAGGTAAGTGATTCTTGGAATTGCTTTAACAATAGGCAGCCAATCTAATGATTCCAGGAAACAGCACACAAGGTCCACTATTAATATACAACAGAACATGATGCAACATTTATCCAGCCAATGTACGGTGAAAGCTGACATTGTCCTTAATAATGCAGTGGTTCTATTAATTTACTTTTGAACTCCCAAAGAGCACTTTGCAAAAATAGCAATATTCAAGCTGTCAATCAAACCATTTGTTCCAAGGTAACCTCACCATTTCTGATTAAATATTACTAATGCAACCATCTTTTTATCTTCTGTAGGTGCTTCCAATGACATTAGTCATGTCCATCATCCAATGCATCCACATTTGTCTCAAGATCCATTAACTGGACAAACCATACTTCTAGGCCCTATGTCAACACTGGTTCATACAGACCAGATCTGTAAGTATCTGGGCTACTTTTCAACTGTAATATGCCCTAAACTTAATTACCCGTGAAAAGGGGGAAATTTGGGGAAAGAATCTATTGTACCCAGAAACTACAAGATAGGGCTACAGTGTCCTCTGCAGGACTCAACTGTGAGAGACTGTGATATTCAGCAAGTCACTTATCCTCCTTAGGCATGAATTTGCTCTGTGCGATGGAGCTATGAGTATCTAAATCTTTCTACATCATAGATTTGGGAGCAGAAAAGAATGCACAGGCAGCCCTATGGTATGCTGGTATGCAGGCTCATAAAAATGACTATGCAAACTGGAACTATGCAAAGAAATATAAATAATCAATGGGCAAATTATAGTTTGTGATATTTATAATTTTTTGTTATATAATGTTACATGTCAATTACATCTCAGGAAAAAACAAACAAAATGTTTTTCAAAACATTAAGAACCCTTTTACGTATGTGTTATAAAAATATAGGGAATTTTGGAAAATAAAATAAAGTAAATTAAAAAAAATAGGGAGTCAAAAAATACAGTAAACCTGATATTTATTTTGTATATCATAATTTAAAAGATTAGAAACACTAGGGAGTATAGTGTTTTATTTCTTTGTAAAAAAAATTTAAGAGGCATAGTTTGAACAGTGTTTTTGCCTCCCCCTCTGATAATAATTTATAAGAGGAACTGATTATCTTTTCTGTAGCTTGTTGAGTGTTAACTGTTTTGGAAGTTCGAATCAGCTTCCAACATTTTATGTTTTGCATTTTTCCCTCATGTTGTTTATTTTTAATTACAGTTTACACTTGATATTATTTTATATTTGTTTCAGGTGTATGGCATAGTAGAGAAACAACCATACGCTTTACAAGGTATCCCCCCTGGTATTTTCAGTACCCAATTGGCACCGTACATAGTTATTGACTGTTACATGTATTATGTATATACATATATGGATAACATAGGTACATATACATGTAGGTACATGTATTGACATGCATAATTATTGACATAGCTACAATATTATTGACTATATTGCCTATGCTACATTCTTGGCATTTTCAGTGTCTTGAAATATCCCTGAGAATCCATTTAATGTAAGGCCTTTTGCCAGTTTCACGTCCTCTGGGGCATCTTTGTCCTTACAACGTAGCCAGTCTCCTCACTTATGCTGAATGCTGACAAGGGTAGCCTCACATTTAGGGACTCAAATAGCAGCTGTGTCCTAGTCCCATGGTTACTATCTTCTGTAACTCCACTTATGTTCCGTTTGAATTTTGATTCCAGGATTATCACTTTTTGTTTCTTTGCTGCACTTTGTTTTGAGCCAATTCCCTTTCAGTTGCCTATTTTTATAAAATGTCACATGGATTTATCACTGGGAGACAAGGAGGCAACTTGAGTACACACTTCGTTATCAGTGTGTGAATTGAATAAAATATGTTCCAATATGAATAAAATAGTGACAGTAAAAGATGTTATGTGACTGGTCACTGACCACAAGACATCTGTTATTTAGGTATTTGAGACTGGAGCATTAGCAGTGAAACTTGTGCTTCTGTGGTACTCACAGTTAATCGAGTCACCATGCTGACTGGGACTTGAACAATGTTTTTGCAGGACTGGTGCCATTAATTGATGACTGAGACACATGCATATCAGAATTGTGCACCATGAGGAATACTTGGGAAAATCTTTGAAACTAAAATGACTATATAAATACTAGGAGTTGTTAGTGCCTAAGTTAATCTGATATGATCATGGATTTAACACAGATTCTATTTCTATGAAGTATCCTGGAGATAAAAATCTCTGTTTGACCAAATATTAAGAATTAATTGCCACTAAATTTATACTGATGAATCCCAGATTTACCTTTGATCTATTGTCTCTGAACACTAAGCCAGCTACCTTACTGAGATGCCTTGAGTTACTGTGATGTAATTATTATGCATACCTATATTCTTACTGAATTTACAATAGCCATTTATAACTAGTCACAGTGTTGTTTCACCTAAACACTCAGTGTAATGGAACAATTCAGTGAGTACTACCTGACTCCTACCTAGTGGAAGGAAAATAGAGACCACAAAAAATGTGTATTTTCACATCTACCTTTTACTTACAAGCATTGGTATACCTATGTGTAAAATGCATCTGAAACACAAAGTTGTTTGAGTATATGACAGAGGCAGAAATGAAACTGTTAGAAAAAAATACAAATTTTGAAAATAGTATGGCACATTGAACCTGAGGCTTCCAGGCTTTTAATGTCTTAAAAGACATTGTTTTGGGACCATCCTTGCAAAGCAGATGTTACCATTTTCATGAAATAGGTTTTAAACAGCAAAGAGAGGTAAGCCCAATATCACACCAGGGAGCTGTGCCTCTTAAAAGAAACTGATCTTAAAGATCAGTTATTCATACAGTCAGAAAATAAAACATATTAACAATACATTAAGCATTATAGTCATCAACTGGCGAGAAAGTTTAGCAATTCTGCTGGTGGTTGGAACTTTTACTTTTTAAATGTTACTTTTTCTAGTAGTTTAAAAGGATGTTTATTGACCTTAATCTTTTTAGAATCTCATCATCACACTTTTCATATGTTTACCTCTTCCAACATATTTAATAAGAATCATTTAAAGGAAAGATTTGCTTATGCTCATTTAGAATAGTGTATATTTTATCCAAAACAAAACATCAGATACATACAAACATAAAAATTTAAGTTTGTGCAGATAGCCTTGGTCTTTTAGAGCAGCTCTCTGCAGTTTCAGATCCATCCTAAATATATAGAAATAATTTTTAAAGCAATTTGTTTATTATTTTGTCAAACTATCTAAAACGGCTATTCCTAAGTAATTGCTAATCCATTCTTAATAATACCAAAGTTGTAGTTAAGAAAACCAAACAAAAATGGACTATCCTCAAAATTCTAGAATTTTGTCCTCAAATTCTAGAAAATACCTTTAAAGTTTCCCTAGAATTTTAAAAAACTGTTTTGGAAAAAAAATCTATGAAGTTTGCAATGCTTCAGTCTGATCATCAAATATTTTTTTTATTTTTTAAATATATAGAATAACAAATATGAATAGTAAAATACTTTGTTTTTAAAAATTATAGAACAGATTTGATTATTTTACAATATGATTAAAGTTTGTAATAGGAAGAAATACTACTATAGACAGTGAAATGTTCTAATTACTAGGTTTGCTCTTTACATTGATAAAGAAGTGACAGGCAAGCAGAATTATAATGGAATAATTTGAACTGACAAAGCCAGTATTTTTCAAATGCCTTAACTGCAAAATAGATTTGAAAGTACTTGAAAAGTATCTTACGTTTATTTTTATGTCATCAAATATGTTTAAATTAGTAGAATCCAAATCAAATATATTTTCTTTTCTGTGTATTTTATGTGGAAAAGTTTATGACAATTGTAACCTAATATTTGAAAAAAACACTAGCATTCTGTTAATTCTTTTCATTAACTTTTTTCTGCTGGGTGTGGGAGACAATTAAATGCTCACAAATGGTATTAAGAAAAGCAGAAAACACCTTTAAAGTACTCTAAAGATTTTCAACAGTTTTCTAGTCCATGAATAATCTATTTGGTGAGGTAAGGTAGGGGTACATCTACACTGGTATATCAGTGAGCTGGTCATGTATCAGATAAACCACTACTTTATATATGACCTTTTAAAAACCTATCCAAAGTAAAATCATGCACATTGGTGTCACGCAGGCGTTAATGGGGTGATGGGTCACTTACAATTCTCTGATTCTTTTTTAGCGACTCCTGAAACCCCACTCCCTTCCCCACCACAAGGCTCTGGACAAGAACAATACAAAATAGCTGCAAACCAAGCTTCAGTTATTTCACACCAGTCTCTCTCCAAACAAAAGCAATTGTGAGGAAATGTTTACTTCTGAACAGCACTGAATAAATGTGAAAAATTACTGGTCTTGAAATGTCTCAGGATATTGCTTTTGTCAAACTCTTAGCCAAGGCTTCTTCATGGTGCTGTTGTAAGATGGTAAGCTATTTTCTTGTTTTTAGGCTCATTTTGTATGTTGTTGCTATTGTCTGAAACCATCAGTTGCAACCACTGTATTATTTGAGTTTTGATGTGTTTATATCGTATGATTTTTCCAGCTTCCTTAGCACTGTGCCTTAAGCAGTCTAATCTATGTACTACTTTCATCTGTTGCCTCAATATTAATTTAAACCTGTAAATAACTGCTTCACCATTATTTCACACAGAACTAAGTGTTCTTTTGACTGAGGATATTAGATCAGAAATCTCAGATTAATATACAGTGAACCAAATTTTTAGCAAATTTTAAACTTGAAAATTAGAAAAAATACAGCAGTTGCCATAGAATAAGGTATATAGATCTTTGAAGATCACTTATAGATATCCTGTGGTTTGGAAGTGCCTTTTCAGCCCACAGTTAAATATGCCTATTTTAAGTTTAGAAAAATATAAATAGCCATTCCAAGGATGGCTGGATATTATTTGAAATTTGACTATATTTGAAGGTGTATCATATGATAAAAGGTGTTAGTTTCAGCAGATGGGTCACAGGCTAAACTAGAAAAAGAAATCCCTTAAATAGTGGCTCAACCAAGAGAGAAGTTTGTTTCACTGTCCTAAAACAATGCGGAAGTCGTCTTCCATGGACTAGAACTTGGCACATGCCCACATCCAGCTCACGGAGGGCCTGGGAGAGTAGGAAGAAAGCCTTAGGTCAACCAAAGCTACAACTCTGGAGAACTAATAATACTTGGCGACAAATTAGCCATCTTTCTGTATCATGTGTGTTAGCTCACTTTGTCCTCACAACAACCCTGAAAAGAGATATTATTATCTTTCTGTTATAAATAAAGTAATCCATTACTTAGATTGTTTAAGTAATGTAACCAAAGTTCATAAACCTAAAGAGCAGGAGAGCCACATTTAAACCCAGGTCTAGTTATTCCTATGAAATAGGAATAAATATATTTTTGGTGTGACATGAAAACTGTAGGCTTCTTACTGTGGTTTTTAAATATGTACAATTGACTACTGATCTAATACTATCTGTCATGTTATCTATAACACATATTTACATGTAAGCCATGAGTGTCAAATTGCTGCAGCATAAAAAAAAACACTTTTATACTTTGAATAAGAGTCTTACCCCTAAAAAATATTTTAAACAAATTAAAGAAAATAAAAGCTACACCAGTTGGGTTATCATGAAAACAAAAAATAAATTTAAATTATTAACTATCAGATTTTTCAAAAATCCAGCAACCCAGGGATATACTAAATGTCTTTTCTGAACCTAGGAGTACAGTTCATTGGAGGCCTAAACTATTTGATATCATGTAAGGCTGGAGCCTATTTAAAAACAATTAATAATGGGTTGCCTTGTAAACCAGTAATCACGCAAACTCTCTCTCTCATACTTTATTAGTTGAAGCAGGGAACAACTGGTTGAATAATTATTAATGATATAAAGAAGTTATCTCAAGTTGTAAGAGACTGATTTACATGATTTTTTAGGGCCTTTCAAAATTTCTAAGATTACGATTTTATAACCCCCACTTACCCTGTAACTAAAAAGTTTCAGTGGATGTTAAGTAACTTGCCAGTTCTTAAAGTGAAATTGAACTCTGAAAATAGAAAATGATTACTTAGAAGCTATGATTGATTTAATAGAATCAATAAATTCTTTCAATAGCTGGCAGCTTTGTGCAAGTGTGAAATCTTCGAGAAAGAAAGAGAAAAGCTTTTTTAACTTACATTTTTCTTGGAAATTTACTTTGGTATCTCTATCATGAATAAGAATGTTTTGATTTTTATAAATATGAATATTGTTTGTAGATTTCTGCTTACTTTTTTGTATTATGCTCTTAGAAGATATTAAAAACTTTAAAATATAAAACAAATCTATATTAGTAAGTCCTTTAACTTATCTGCATATATTTACTAAACAGTTATGTTTTACAAATTATTACCAACAATTTTGTTTTAATAACTGTGGTCAGGGAATTTGTAATATATTTTGTTACTTAACTTCCGAAAAATGCTAGATGAGAGGAACTGATATTTTCAAATACTGATAAAGTTATTGCTTTACTTAGCACAAAACTTTTTTCATGTAATAAAAATGAATAATTTATTGTGAAAGAATGATTCATTTTATAAATGTAAAATTATTTTTATAAATTTTATTGTTAAAAATCAAAATTATTAGATTTTTTAAATGTTAAATTATAGTGAGATGGAAATATTTCTAAACTGATACTGTGTTGTTTCGCTGAACTTTCTAAATAAAATTTGAGAAAAAGACTGAAATGGAGTACTTCATTGCTGCTCAAAAGTGATTTTATAATTGTAGAAATAGTGTTAATATCTGTTGTATGGTCATTTAGTTAAATTTATGTTACATGGAGTTCAGTAATACTGGTGTTTGGAGGCCAGAGATAAATTAATTAGCACATTTCTAAATAATTGTAGACTTAGACACTGATTGAAGGGAAAACCTGCACACTTGTGAGTTAATTATGTAATTTTGCTTGCTTTTTAGTTTTGTTACAGTAATGAAAATGTATGACCCTGGCTGGCTTCAACATTGTAAATGCATATAATTGGCACATAAATTTTTAACCTCATTGTTTTCTGTTCTGCTATTCACTGTTTATATTTAAAACTTCTTTGTAAAATTTCTTAAATTAGGGGGACCAGTCATTATAAAATTCTACTAATTTCTATTTTATATTTAATTTTATCAGGGTAATATGTGTACATCATTCAAAAACACAATTATGCCTTGGCTGTTGTGGCTCAGTGGACTGAGTACTGGCCTGAGAGTCAAAGGGTCTCCGGCTCGATTACAAGTCAGGGCACATGCCTGGCTTGTGGGCCGGGTCCCTAGTAGGGGGTGCAAAAGAGGCAACCACACATTGATGTTTCTCTACCTCTCCTTCTCCCTCCATTCCCCTCTGTCTAAAAATAAATAAATACTTTTTAAAAAATATGGTTATGCTTAAAGGTTTTATTGAAAACCTGCAGTCCTCCACCCTACTTCCCCTTCTTCCCCATGTTCTGTCCTTCATAATAGCACTCAAATATGGCAGCCAATTTATGTGGTATTTTTCTCCAGAGTTTGAAAGTATTTTTATACCACATTTTTTCAATCTATTTTTTTTTAGTTTCAAATCTTATCTGTACACAAACACTCAACGCCCACTACATTCTCTCAATTTCTTAGTAAACCGATATCTTACTTACTTGGAAGTTACTGTTTCAATACTTGCAAAGAGCTTGGTGAATGATTTAAGGTTCTGAGCCCAGGAATGAAGGTCTGGATCAAGCCACCATGCAAGCCACTGAGATGGCAGAGGTTCAGCTGAAGGTGAGGAGACTCTAGGTTAGATTCTAAAAGAATGAGATAATTCTTCATTATGGTCTCAAGTCCAGCTTGTTCTGCTCTCCTTCCCCTTTTAATTTTCTTACAGAAAAGTGGCTCACCAAAATCATGGGGGTGCTACCTAAATTGTTAGGAAGAAGGCTTATACAGACTTAGGCAAAGTAGGCTTGCTGGTGTTTGTTAAATTACCAGCCATCATTACTTAAAAGATAAATCATGAATAAGGATATGAAATAACAATAATAATAAGACAAATGATACAATAATTAAATAAATAATAATACAAGAACAAACTCTGTGTTTTGTGTACTCACAACTGTAAACCTACTTTTACCCAACCCTGTATTGTAGTCAATACTCCAGATTGAAGGACTTAACTCCATTAGTTGCTGGAGAGCAGCTGGCAGACCTCTTTGGGAATTATCTTCATTTGAAAGCCACTTTAACCATTGCCATGCCTCTTTCTGGAAGTAGCTTACATCCAGGGATTGGTTGATGCAAGAGTATAGAGGTTTGACCCTCTTCCCCCCTCCTCACACTAACCCTGAATAGCCATCCCACTTTCAAAGCTCACTCTGGGATTGGCTGAGGTCTTTGTTGTGTCTGAATCACAGTTTAACTTCTTTCTCTACCAAAGTTTGCCTCCATCCTCACTTTTGAGTGTTGATCCTTAGAGCATTCACTAATAAATGTACTGCGTGATAATCTCAGTCTAATTTCTAGAGAGCTCAGTCTGCAACAACAGGTAAGTTTCATTTATATTTATAAACCATCACAGGCAATTAATTGGAAACTGAAATTAACCAAGCATATGGGTTGTAATATCAATAAAAATAAAATTTATAAAAATCAGATTTATGAAGTATAGACAGCAATATATATCATCAGAAGTCAAAAATTTAAAATAATGAAAAATTTTGACATTGAAAATATGAAACATTTTTGTGAGTTTAATTCATTTTCAGGTAAATCAGGCATTAAAGACTGATGACTTAGGAGTAAAATGAGGCATTAAATGTGGTTTTTAAAATAATTTTATTTAGTTATTTTTTAAGTACAGTTTTTTGTCTATTTCTCCCATCCCAGCACCCCCCGCCCTGTGCTCCCTACCTCCCTCCCACTTTCGCCCCCCTTAGAGTTGAATTACAGACATATAGAAAAAGTTATTAAGTAAAAAAACTAACCAGATCTGATTTTTAGTTAGAAAGTGTTATTGCAGTTAAAGATTTTGTAATGTAAAAAACCAGTTGACAAATTTCTAGCTGATTCTTTTCCACAGGCTATTTCTTCTGGTGGACATTTCTTTTTCTTTGATCTCCTGGAGTGTTCCTGCTTGAGTTAACATATCACTTTCATCATTCTGTGAACACTTTTACAAACTTCTCAGACAAAATTAAAAACTTCTTCATGTGTCTCGTTCTTGGTTGTATGTAATTCTATTTACAGAACTTATTTTAATACTTTTATTATTGCATATTGCCATTTAGAGTGAGCCCCTGAAGAGCAGGTAACATGTTGGGTACATTTTTTTAATTCCCAAGATTCAACAGAATTCCTAGCAATTAATAGGTGGTCAGTAGTGATTTCTCAAGTAGACAAGAGATTGGTCAAAACTATGAATTGTTTTTTACTAGTAAAGCACAAGAAGAAAATGTGCTGAAGATTGAAATATTTTCTTATTATTCAATGGATTTTTATTTTTAATTTATTTTTGAAGCTTATCCATATGGCATTTATTATTTTTTCCTTTTTTATTTAATTATTGTTCCAGTACAGTTATCTGTCTTTTACTCCCATACCAGCCCACCCCGCCCAGTGCTTCCCACCTCCCTCCCATTTCCATCCCCCTAAGTTTTTGTCCCTGTGTCCTTTATACCTGTTCCTGTAAACCCTTCTTCCCTTTTTCCCCTGAAACTCTCTCCCCTCTGGTCCCTGTCAGCCTGTTCTCTATTTCAATGTCTTTGATTATATTTTGCTTGCTTGTTTGTTTTGTTGTTTAGGTTCCTGTTAAAGGTGAGATCACCATTTGTCTTTTACCTCCTGGCTTATTTCACTCAGCATAATGCTTTCCAGTTCCATCCATGCTGTTGCAAAGGGTAGTAGCTCCTTCTTTCTTTCTACTGCATAGAATTCCATTGTGTGAATGTACCATAGTTTTTGGATCCATTCACTTACTGATGGGCACCTAGTTTGCTTCCAAGTCTTGGCTATTGTAAATTGTGCTGCTATGAACATTGAGGTGCATAGGTTCTTTTGGATCGGTGTTTCAGGGTTCTTAGGATATACTCAATGGATTTTTAGATAGTGCTGTTTTGACAAGACAGTCAGCTAATCATATTTTTTAAATAAAAATAGTGAGAAAGAGACAATTATTTTCAGTAAGGGAAACATCATTCACTCCCTATTTTATAACTTTTTTCTCATAGATGTTTTTGAAAGATTTTATCAACTTATTTTTCATATTTTAAAATATAGGCATTGTTAAACAGATACTTTACAGCACAAAATGTATTATGTTTTTATATGGCAAAGGCAGCATCAAAACATAAAGGGTTTTTTCTTATATTAGGCCTTTGTGTTCATTTAATCTGAATGTAATTCAGTCAAGTCATTTCCATATTTGACATTAAGGTCAGAGACAGATTAGTAGACAGAATTACAACATTTCCTGATGATGATGATGACGATGATGATGGTGATTAGTTTTGAAGAGGATTTGCTTTAAGAACATAGATTAACATTATGGATTTCTTCCTGTGTATATTGACAAAAGCATATGGGGTTTCCTCTACATATCTGTTAGTAAATGAGAGGGGCTAGAGAAGGGGAGAGACTGCTAATGTGCAGCTAGTTTCTTTTGGGGGTGACAAAAAGTGTTCTCAAAATATTAGCTGGAGTGGCTCAGCTAATATATTAAACCCACTGACTCATATACTTTAAATGGGTGAGTTATGCAATATGTGGATTACATTTCAATAAAGCTGTTTTTAAAAAGCATTAGCCAATTTCATTCATAAGTATAGAGGAAAAGCCCATATAAAACATAATTAACACTTATTAGTGATATAAAATGAAAGGTAATGCATCACAATCAAGGGTACTTCAAAGCTAGAATATTGGTTAATCTAGTCTACTTCATAATGAAGCTAGGGAGATAATCCTCTATCCTAGTTCTGTAGAAAATCACAGACACACAGGGAAACACATTAAAAACTGGAATTTAGTGATAGAAACATGTTCTTCACTAGAAAAGTCAATACTGTAGAAATACTAATTCTCCCCACACTGGTCTATAGATTCAATGTAATTACAATAAAAATTCTAGTAGGTTTTCTGCAGGCCATGACATACTATTACAACTTACATGGGCATCCTTCTCATTC